CTATTTATAAAATCACTTCAAAAAAATTCAAGTTAGTTCAGTATAAGGCTATATGCAGTGTAAAATGGAGATTACTAAAACATCATAAGTTGTCACAAAATACCTCTGTTCCTTCAAATCTGACTTAAGGAGCAAAAAATAGCCAATAGTTCAGTGAAACCCCCCTAAAATGCTTGAGTATAGCTAAAGCAGAGTCCAGGTCCCTCCCTGCTACACGAGATGTTCAGTTTAAGAAAAGTCTTTCCCAAATCTTGGATAATATATATGTAGAGAGATAATGTAATAATTGAATAATGTATGATGGGACAACAAAAGCCACTCACTAATTAAGGCTGGAGCAAGCTTTTCATAAGCTTGGTAGCTGACCCAGTCCCAACTTTACCAGAAAAAAAAACATGTGACACATCATGGATAGAATACAGATGAAAGTGTGGCTGTGGGTTGCTCTTCCATCTTGTTTTAACATTGGGAATGACAGGTTTGTCTCCTGAATAATACATGATTTGCATGACAACAGTGCTCCAGATGGTGGCAATACATTTTTAATACTTTAGTGATAACATTTAAGTGCTGCAAGTATTAAAACTCACCAAAAGTGCCCCATATCTGGCATGGAGCCATAGGAGGGATGCATGGAGTTATTTAACATTGTAAAGGCACAAGCCAAAAGATGGCACCGGGGTACTCTCTAAAGAAGTAACACTTAAAAAAAGAAAAAGAAAAGAAAGAAATAAAAAAAGAATAAAACAGCAGGCATGGGGGGAGGGAGAGCAGGTACCAATGCAACACACATCCAAAGTGCAGATCACTGTTAATCCCTCACAAATATTCCAAACAGGCCGAATATTACAGTTACTCTACACTAGCCAGTCCATGTAACAGTGCATCCCTGAGTTAACAGGCATATTGCATCCAGACTACACTAAAGAGTAAAGCAGTGAAACAACATACCTGTTCCACATATGTTAAACCCCCAAATGGAAGTAATGGAACTGCCACAGAGCTAGGCGCACACCTCTGAGCTCTAGCTCAAGCACAGCAACTGGCACACACCCATTCCCATGCTGAGAGAAGTTGCATTACATCTGGGATTTTTAGTATGCACAAAGCAGCCAGGCTGAGCTCCCTAATGTGAACTGGAGACCATACCAGGGACGATATTCATAGATTCATAGATGTTAGGGTCGGAAGGGACCTCAATAGATCGAGTCCGACCCCCTGCATAGGCAAGAAAGAGTGCTGGGTCTAGATGACCCCAGCTAGATACTCATCTAACCTTCTCTTGAAGACCCCCAGGGTAGGGGAGAGCACCACCTCCCTTGGGAGCCCGTTCCAGACCTTGGCCACTCGAACTGTGAAGAAGTTCTTCCTAATGTCCAGTCTAAATCTGCTCTCTGCTAGCTTGTGGCTGTTATTTCTTGTAACCCCCGGGGGCGCCTTGGTGAATAAATCCTCACCAATTCCCTTCTGTGCCCCCGTGATAAACTTATAGGCAGCCACAAGGTTGCCTCTCAACCTTCTCTTGCGGAGGCTGAAAAGGTCCAGTTTCTCTAGTCTCTCCTCGTAGGGCTTGGTCTGCA